AATCAAAATCATCTCTATTTCTGTAACATATCTTCCATTCTATCAAATGAGACCAAGAAATCACAAATACAACTATAAAAAACATACGAAAACACACTGCAAAGTTGCTGTTTTAATCGAAAATTATGGTCTCAGATTTTTTTCTCTCATTATACACTGTGTGCTGCAGGATTTGTTTTATGTGGTGCACACATATCACATAGATGTATTCTCTCATATCTAGTCCCAAATTTACCGCTCACAGCTTATCAGAGTGAGCTGAGCTCATGACGTAGATCTATGGTTTGGACCCTCAACGGGTTAAAGTCGGTGTTGGATCAGCCGGCCTGTGGTTCGTACATTGGACTACATGCAGCCAGCAGTAACAGCCTGGTTGATCAGGCCCTGATCCACAGGTAGGCCTGGTTGTGGACCGGGCCGCAGGGGCATAGATCCCCGGAATATGCCCCAGGTAGACTCCAGGTAGACCCCTCTAGAGTCTTCTAAATATGTGATAGGATTAAAGACTCAAAGAATTGTTAAACCATATAGCTTGTATAGTTGTGGGTGCTTGTGGCTTGGTTGGTAGGATCCTTAGCTCACACACTCAAGGACTGGGAATGATTACCAGCATGGGTGAAACATTGGGAATGTTTCCTTACAACTGCTGCCCCTGTTCATCTAGTAGTAAGAAAGAACCTGGGTGAGTCACATCCTGGGAAGAAAAGGCTAAAGAACCCCAGTGGAAATAAGATCAACAGTTGTCTATGACTCGTGTATTTTATTGGGTTATCTTGGGTGGCTAACCCTCCAGGTTAAAAATTTGAACAAAATCTTGTCTGTCTTATCTTTTTATGAGATACAGCAGCTTATTTTCTTGTTTCTATACAGCACAGTTAATGCTTATGAAATAATGGGAATTCAAAAGTCTTTGTGTTATGGGGGTAATGGATTGAACCATGTGATTATTTAAATCATAATATGTTGTTAAGAATGCAGTGCTTTAACCCCTTAACCCTTTCAGGGTCCAGAGGCCAAATTTCAAAGTGCGCACCAGTGTCCAAGAATTTTCAAAAAATAATTTTGTTATTTTTTATTATGAAATGGTAGAGAATCTTTTTCTGGAGGTAATAAAACAAAAAGTACGAAATTTGATGGAAAATTTACGAAATTATGCTTTTGCTAATTTTGATGTGTCAGCGATATTTACACATTGGCGATTTAGCCAACTTTGACTCCAATTTTAAGCCAATTACCTTATTCCAGTCAACCAAATTCTTAGCTAATTCACTAGTATTACTCCTATTCTATCGATTGAGCACAAAAAATTGCCAATTAAACTGTTTCAGCTACAAAATAAAGTGATTGGAAATTGGTAATTTGGCCAATTTAGTGCAAAGTTCAAAATATTCCAGTTTCAAAATAGGGTCCAGAATAAACAATGTAGGCATTACTGGCACTAAACTAACATTTCCTCTGTTCATTAGTTACGTTTTCAGGCTTTACAAATGAATTCCATTTTTATTTTTAATTCACATAATGAATTTTTATTCAGACCAAAAAACAGAAGATTTACTGTCATGCAATATTGTAATAATTGTATATATAATATCAGTACATTTGTGAACATATATTAGACCCACCAGCTGGCGTGTATTAGACGTGTGAGGTCATTTGTTTACTCTTGAACATCGGCAAAAATTTAACATTTCCGCTACTTTGAGCTCAGTTTCAAGCAATTTTCAGTACTAAAACCAATCAAAATCATCTCTATTTCTGTAATATATTTTCCATTCTATCAAATGAGACCAAGAAATCGCAAATACAACTATAAAAAACATATGAAAAACACTGCAAAGTTGCAGTTTTAATTGAAAATTACAGTCTCAGTTTTCTTTCTCTCATTATGCACTGTGTGCTGCAGGATTTGTTTTATGTGGTGCACACATACCACATAGATGTATTCTCTCATATCTAGGCCCAAATTTACTGCCGTATATCTACGGCACGGACCCTGAAAGGGTTAACTGTCCAAATGTAGATCTATGTTCTCTTGCCCAGCGCTCTGAATATTTTGAAAAAAAAAAAAAAAAAAATTTAAATAAAGTTTTTTTTTTTTTACTTAAAGTAATGTAAAACAAATTTAGAGTCAGTACTTACGGAGATATAAGGCCACAAAGTCGGCGCTTGTTGCTCACCTGATGGCAACATAAAGCGCTGCTGCTTGCAGAAGTGTTGCTGATATACCTCTTTTTCTCATTTTTTTTAATTTTTAAAATTTTTATGTTCTGATGTAATTACAGTTTGTAGTAGTTCTTGTGATTTCATAGCTAATCTTTGTTCTGACACTAATGTTAGTTACTGAAATGCATGTAGTTCTCAAATAGTCACCAACATAGTGACAGGTGAACATTTTCACCTACCTTAGTCACATACTATTGTCTACAAATATATACATAGTATTTATAGGTCCCAGCAATATTTTGGATATGTTGGAGTATATAATAATAATAATAATAATAATAATAATAATAATAATAATAATAATGTTTCCTTGAAGCATGGTGTAAGACGAGTGTCACTCCACTGCTGACAGTGCAGCAGTGGTGCCACTGCTGACAGTGCAGCAGTGGTGACATTTAATGAGCGTGCACTGCCTTGGCTTTATTTGTTTTCACTGTTACACATAAACATGTCTGTCTATCTGTCTGCCTGTCTAGCTCTCTGTATATCTGTCTGTCTAGCACTTTGTTTATCTGTCTTTGCATTTCTGTCTTTCTGTCTCTCTGTCTCAGAGAGAGCCACTCATGAACCAACAGGTATTACACATGACACAGTCATCACTTCTGATTCCTGAACAAGTGAAAATATGTATTACTTGTCAGTCATGCTTACTATGCATTATATCTACAAGCACAGTATAGCACTTTGTCTAGATTTTTTGGGTTATTCTAGGTAATTTACACTATGTATAATTGTATTTATGTGTACCTGTGAGACAGAGACAGAGATAGACAGAGACAGATATAGATACAGACAGACAGATGGAGAAAGAGATAGCCAAAGTCAGTCAGCCAGCCAGCCAGCCACCGGCCAGCCAGCTGACCAGCCAGCCAGCTGACCAGCCAGCCAACCAGTCAGCCAGCCGTCCAGCCAGCCAGCATGCCGAAAATGTATTAGATGTTCCAGAATTGTTTCTCTTTACTTAGGGCTTAGGTTATAAGACATTCTGGTAGGATGACACTACCAGTGGTACCAAAATTGAAAGGGTGTTGCACAAATGTTGCACATGGGTTATTATCGAGGTTTTTGATATTTCCTCGACCACTTATGGCTGCATCCACCTCAAAGCAACTAAACTCGGGGTCAACTTCATTTTCCTCTTAACCCTTTGACTGTCACAACCCCAAATCCTGAAGTGTCTCCTGGTGTCGAAAATTTTTTGGAAAAAAAAATTATTTTTTCTTATGAAATGATAGAGAATCTTTTCCCAGTGGTAATGACACCAAAAGTATGAAATTTGGTCAAAAACTTATGGAATTACGCTCCCGCGAAGTTAGCGATTCTGCCGATATATACGCATCGGCGATTTCGCCAAGTTTGAGCTCTATTTTTGGCCAATTCCTTTGTTCCAGTCGACCAAACTCATAGCTATTTCTTTAGAATTCTATTTTTTATATCAATTGAGTACAAGAAATCACCCATTTACCAATTTCAACTACCCTACAAAGTGGTCAGAAATTGACAATTTGGTCAATTTCACGCAAATTAAAAAAGATGTCAATTTCAAGATAGGGTCCAGAATAAACAATGCAGACATTCTTGGCACTAAAATAACATATCCTCTGTTCATTAGTCACATCTCCTGGCCCCTCTTATATTACTCTTGCTTTCTATTTTGATTTTTTATTCACACAAAAAGTAGAAGATTTACTGTTATGCAGACTACTGCATTATTGTAAAAATGGTATAAATAATACCAGTGCACTAATGAAAGAATATTAGACTCACCAGTTGACATGTATTGGAAGTGTGGTGTGATTTGCTTACTCTTGAACATTGGTATAAATCGAACATTTTCGCTACTTTGAGCTCAATTTCAAGGTCGTTTTCATCGTGAAACTAATCAAAATCATCTCTATTTCTGTAATATGTTTTCCATTCTATCAAATGAGACCAAGAAAACGAGAATACAATCATAAATACTATAGGAAAATACACCTCAAAATCGGCATCTTAATCCAAAAACATGGTCGGAGTTTTCTTTCTCTCATTATGCACTGCATGCTGCAGGATTTTTTTTATACAGTGCACACTGACCACACAGACCCATTCTCTCACATGTGGGCCTACCAGCTTTCTCCTGCTTGATTTGAAGCCGCTGGAATTAGTGAGTATATATATACGTCCGAAACACTGGCTCGTAAGACGTATATATATATATGGCTGAAACAGTCAAAGGGTTAAAATGGGAGTGTTAATACTACATGACATCAGTGAATCCTAGGTATTTGCCACACTGTTTACTCTAGCTGGCACTCAAATGAACTGGTGCTCCCACAAGGTAAAAAATGGTCCCAGATTATTTTAATACTGTGCACACTGGGTGTTAAGACCTCTTCTCTGCTGACCAGGCATCTCAGGGCAATCGTGCCAAATTTGGAGACAAGAAAAATAAAACGTAGATCTACGTTTGGACAGTTAATCCCTTCAGGGTCCAAGGCCAAATTCTGAAGTGCTCCAGTGTCCAAGAAATTTTGAAAAAAAAAAATTATTTTTTTCTTTCTTACAACCACTGGGACCTCTGGGATCTGCCTAGGACCACTAAGATTTAGCTAGGTTCACAGTAGTGTCTTACTAGAGCTAAGGCTGGATTTAAAAGTTAGGAGTATACATATGCTTACTCTAACAAAATTTCTTTGTTACATTCAATATTCACATTTTGAATCTTATTGGAAACATTTCCATAACATGTACATACATACAAAACAAAATATTGAATGCCTGATTTATTTTTCCAGACAAATGGGAAATTGATCCAAATGAGCTTAATCTCCTAGAGGAACTAGGATCAGGTCAGTTCGGTGTAGTGCGACATGGTAAACTACGATGCCTTGACGTAGCTGTGAAAATGATGAAAGAAGGGACGATGAGTGAAGATGAGTTTATTGAAGAGGCGAAAGTCATGACGTAAGTACTGACCTGAACATCTGTATTGGTAATGAAATGAAAGATTTCCTCATATCTTTTGCTGCTGTTTATATGATAATAAGCAAATATTGTGCTCTTTAATTGCAAGTCAGGAATTATCCAGGGATTCTCCACTGGCATCCATAGATCTGAAGGTAGGTAATCTTGGGAATTTAGGTGCAGCAGTTCTTGTTGCTTTGTGTTCATACTGTATTCCATGGATGCAAAACAAATGCTTAATGTTTCCAAAGATCAATTGGTAAACATTGAGGTTTAAACTGACCTTTGTAATTAACAGTTTATTTTCAGATTTTTATTGTGTAAAATTCTAAGGTTTAGAACTAAAGTGGGACGTGAAACATGGTATGTGCCTGGATTTGAAAGAAGTATAAATGAAAGTGAGAAAAGTTTTTAGAACAAAGTTATTATTCAGGGAATATTGATCCAAGGGAGGGATTTTTTTTTTTTTGAGATTTTACTGTTAAATTTTGATAAAATTATTGTGGAAAATAAAGAGTAGTAGGAAAGTTTGGAGTGCCAGATTTAATGAGAATGGAGGAGCCTTGGTTGAATCATGTTGAGAAAGATGTTTTATAATCAACAGTACATGTTTCAAGTAGATATAGATAAATGAGTATACACAGTATATATGAAGTGTGCAATGAATGTAGCCAACTAGCCTAGGTTCTAGTGGATAAAAGTTCTGTGGTAGACAGTAGATGTAGATAATGGGTTTCTAGAGAGTTAGGTTTACTGGTAATTTAGCATTATTAAGAGTAAGAAGAAAATGTAATGAAAGGGGAATACATAATGTCATGTTAAAGAGAAGTCTCAATTAAAGAGAAGGGAGAGAGAAAGAGAGAGAGAGAGAGAGAGAGAGAAAGAGAGAGAGAGAGAGAGAGAAAGAGAGAGAGAGAGAGAGAGAGAGAGAGAGAGACAGACAGACAGAGAAAGAGAGAGAGATAGAGAGAGAGAGATGGGGGAGGGGTTAAAACAGTAAAAAGGTATTGTAAAAGTAGGCTCAATGAGAGAATGGGTAAAGCATTATTAGCAAGTTTTACCAAGAATAAGAGACAGTTTGAAAGGTGAAAAACCCTTGTTGTGAATGAAAGTAGAGAAGCTGGATAAAGAAGCAGAAATGCTAGAAAGATGGAGAGAATATCTTGAAAAATTGCTGAATGTAGATGATAAGATGGAGACAGTCTTATTTTTATGTTTGGGATTAGAACAGTTGAGATATATAGTTCAAAAAGTTTATTCTCTATAAAGATTACAATGCGGGGTTTACATATTTTAGGATATTGTGTGACTCACGAAATCATAATGACACGATTGCAAACAAACCATACCATGGGCGGGATTTGAACCCGCAGTCAGAGAGTCTTATTACGTGTCATTATGATTTCATGAGTCATGTTGACGGCAGTGAGGGGACTTGAGCTAGAGTTTGTCACGGCCACGCTAGCTGGAGATTCATCTGTAAAAACTTGCATTTGTGGTCACAGTGGTGCCTATGCTAACCTTCCTATGGTGTAGAAATATATACCTAGTTGGGCAAATCTTATTGTGGCTAGCTGGTCCAGTGGCTAACGAGACAGTCTGGAGTTGTGAGACTCTCTGACTGCTGGTTCAAATCCTGCCTGTGGTATGGTTTGTTTGCAATCGTGTCATTATGATTTCGTGAGTCATGTTGACGACAATGAGGGGACTTGAGCTAGAGTTCGTCACGGCCACGCTAGCTGGAGATTCGTCTGTAAAAACTTGCATTTGTGGTCACAATGGTGCCTATGCTAACCTTCCTATGGTGTAGAAATATACCTAGTTGGACGAATCTTATTGTGGCTAGCTGGTCCAGTGGCTAACACGACGGTCTGGAGTTTTGAGACTCTGACCGCGGGTTCAAATCCCGCCCGTGGTATGGGATATTGTGTGGTTTACATGTTATAAAATACTAATTATAGAGAGAGTCACTATCACATCTAGCATGACTAGGCATTTTGGGCAGACTAAGATTAATTCATAACTCTAAATTATTACAGATTATGGAGCAAGTTGGTATTAACCCTTAAACGGTCCAAACGTATATATACGTTCACGCTCGTAGCGCCCCCAAACGTATATATACGTTTTCTTTGTCATTCATTCAACATTGCCACAATAAGCCTGAGCCACCTAGATATGAGAGAATGGGTGTGCGCACTCACTGTGTGCCATATTAAAATAATTGGGGATGCCTGGGTACCATATGCTCTTTTTTCCTTTTAAAAGAAAAGATTTTTTTTTCCTCAAAAAATTTGGGGTGCTACGCGAGTGAACGTATATATACGTTTGGACAGTTTAAGGGTTAAGGCTAAGTAACTACATTACAGTTTGTAAATTTAGCAATGTGAATGCTTTTGTTTTGGTACAATACATAGTTTCTATATTGGAGTATCACAGGCAAACTTATGAATAGTTAGGATTCATTATTTTAACCCTTTCAGGCTCCGTCCCGTAGATCTACGGCTTTACGTTCAGGGTCCAAACCTTAGATCTATGCCAAAATTCTAGCGGCATCAAATTTAGCACAAGAAGGCTGGTAGGCCTACATCTGAGAGAATGGGTCTGGGTGGTCAGTGTGCACACCATAGAAAAAATCTGGACGCCTGCATGGCATTGTGGGAACACCGGCAAAGTAGCTTTGTTCATAGTGCCTGGCGGCAATGAAGCTCTCACTCCCCACTCACTCTCCGGGCGAATTCTGACTCTCTTCACAACTTACAGTTCTAAGACTGATGGAAGTGGAGCTGAAGACGAATTCCATGGTTTTGAACCATATGGTACCCTTGTGCCATATGGTACAATGGTACCATATGGCACAATGGTGCCATGTCATACAATGGTATCATATGGTACAATGGTATCATATGGTACAATGGTATATGGTACAATGGTATCATATGGTACAATGCACCATATAGTACATTGTACTATATGGTGCATTATTTCCATTAGGGTACAGGGACCCTAATGGAAATAAGTCTGTCTGACTTTTTTGGGGTTATCCTAGGTTCTCCAAACATATGCTGCTAAGTATGATATTCTATGTAACTTTATTTGTGTATAACTAAATAAACTTACTTATGATGCCACATGCACTTGAGTAAGTTTATTCAAGTGTACAGAAATACAATTGCGTAGATTATCATACATAGCAGCATACGTATAAAATCTTAGGATAACCCAAAAAAGTCAGGGTGACTTATTTCAGTAGTTATCCCTGTATCTGTACCATATGGTGTCCTGTACTGTATGGTACCCTGTACCATATGGTACCCTGTGCCATATGGTACCCTGTGCCATATGGTAACCCTGTACCATATGGTACCCTGTACCATATGGTACCCTGCTCCATATGTTATCCTGTACTGCATGGTACCCTATACCATATAGTACAGTGTACCATATGGTACCCTGTAACATATGATACTGTGTACCATATGGTCAATAGGTGTTGGTGGCATGAGACACCAGCCAAGACTGAGTGAGTGGCGACGCAAGCTAGCTACTGACTCCCCAGTTTCCGAGACGAAGTGCTTTGTCATCCACCTCAAGGAACACGTCAGGTTCCTGTAGACTTGTAAATATATAATAGAACATTACTAATATACAACATTTTTGCATATTTTTGTTGTAAACAACTATTGTAAACAAAATAATAATGAAAATATTAGTGTTTATTGTGCTGAATACAACAGTACCATATGGTACAATGAACAATATGGTATCATTGTACTGTATGGTACAATGTACCATATGGTACCATTGCATCATATGGTACCATTACACCATATAGTACCATAAGGTACCATTGCACCATATGGTACCATTGTATCATATGGTACCATTGTACCAAATGGTGCCATTGTACCATATGGTACCATTGTATCATATGGTACCATTGTATCATGTGCCATTGTGCCATATTGTACCATATGGTACCATTGTACCATATGGTGCCATTGTACCATATGGTACAATTGCACCCTATGGCACCATTGTACCATATGGTACTATATGGTACTGTTGTATTCAACACAGTAACCACACTAATATTTTCATCATTTTGTTTACAATAAACTTGTAAACAAGTTTTGTAAGCAATATAATGATAAACAAATTAGTGCAGTTATTGTGTTGAATACAATGAGTGTACACTAATACAATATACATTATACTGGTCTCACAGGCCACAAATGTTATTAGAAAAAGAAAAAAATAGAAAAGAAAAGAAAAAAGTATAAAAAACGTAAAATAAAAAAATGGGATTTTGCGGAAGTCACTGATGTTGCCGCCACCCGGTCATTTTGAGTCAACTTCCCGCCGCTGTATCACGGTAAGTACTGATCAGAAATTTTTGTTTTTTGTCTTATTACCTTCACAAAAATATGATCTTTAATTCTGTAAGAAAAAATAATTTTTTTTTTTATTAAAATTTCTTGGACACTGGAGCACCACTTCAGATTTTGGCCTTGGACCCTGAAGGGGTTAAGATTTGTATTTCTGTGTTATAGTCAATTGGGTGAGTGTGTGAGTGTAAGTGTGAACTACCAGGTGGTTTACATGTAGTTAGCTGACGGGGTGTGTCAGGGAGATAAGATGTTTTCTTACATTAAGATAAGATAAGATAAGATTTCGTTCGGATTTTTAACCCCGGAGGGTTAGCCACCCAGGATAACCCAAGAAAGTCAGTGCGTCATCGAGGACTGTCTAACTTATTTCCATTGGGGTCCTTAATCTTCTCCCCCAGGATGCGACCCACACCAGTCGACTAACACCCAGGTACCTATTTGCTGCTAGGTGAACAGGACAACAGGTGTAAGGAAACGTGTCGAAATGTTTGCACCTGCCGGGAATCAAACCCGGGCCCACCGTGTGTGAAGCGGGAGCTTTAGCCACCAGGCCACCGGGCCACCCCATTAGTTTTGAAAGTGATGAATGTTTTTGCAGTTCTAGTTTTC